AATTACTCTTGACATATTCAGTCGTTTTAGCTCATAAATGAACTTGATCGAGACCTTATTGTTATACATATTCTGTATAAAATACTTTAAGAATGGAGAAGAAACGAAAGCACTAACAAGGTGATATATAGTGCGTTTTTTGTTGTTGTTTTTTGTTAGATTTAGCCTATATTCTAACTTTGTTGAGATTTTATGGTCATAGATATTCTGTTGAAAATTGTCAAGATTAAAGAAGAAATGAAAGCGTTGGAGTGGTAACAATGTGAAATATAACAGATATTGTAATTCAAGGACAGATAACTCTTGACATATTGCTTAGGGTATGTGGATGCTAGAGTGGTAACAAGCTAAATTTGGACGGACAGACAGACAGACAGGCGCATACTCAGGTGAGCTGAAATCAACACACAAAAACACCTGATAAATACTGGTCAAAATTAACGAAAATTATATAAGGTTTAAAATATGGACGAAATGCGGCAGGACCATGCCTTTTTGCCGCAAAATATACGTCAGAAAAATGTGGACGATATGCGCCGCAAAACGTCCATATACGTACATTTTGCGGTACGGACGTTTTGCGGTGTTACACTGCTCTCCCACAGCCATATTCGTTAAGTACAAACGAATTAAATTTACGAAGAAGAAGAAGAAGAAAAGTTTATTTCCAACTTGTACAAATAGAGTACCTCGTTGTTTCAAGTACATATAAAATATCATGAAATTAACAATTTCACAATGATAAGGAGCATATGTCAGCTAATTCAACATAGAAAATAACAAAGTGTGCAAATGTATAAAATGCATTATGCATACGATGTACAAATAATTTAAACAATCATTATTGTACTTTAACAAATATTTGAATTTATCAACACTCCTAACAAAGATCCAAAGTATATTTGACTTTATTACTTAAATTAACTGAAAATACTAAATAGCTTAATTTATTGTAGTTCTTTATATCACTATTGATTAACCTGTACTATTTAAGACACATGATTAAATTTACGGACTTTAAAAGTGATGCCTCGCATCGACGAATGCAGTTTTAAACAAACAACGTCGTCATTAGAAAATATAAACTTGTATCATCATTAACGTAATAACAAAACGTCCATCATCCTCATCAAATATTAATATCATCTGACGGTATCAGTGTTAGTAAATGTAGAAAAACTGCATAGTTTCCTACTCGCAGTTATAATTTTTGTAAATAAAGAAAGTTATTTGATAGAAAATGGACAGCTACTTACAGAATAAAACAAGGCAATTATATTTTTTAGTAGAGCAGAATCACACCAAAGAATTCCTGTTCTACACTTGCTCTTAATTGAGCCAACAAATTACATTACTTCACGTCACGCCACGCCTCACCACGTTTCAACACATCATCATCAGGGTTCATGTGTTTGCGCTCGTGGGTTCGAGTCCTACTCAGGGGCATGCCCACGGTATCTCCTTTGACACTATTTGCTGGTAGCGGATTCGGAGTGAAGTTAAAATTAATAAAAATAATTGAAACTTTTATAATCGAACATGAATAAATATGTTCAAACAAAAACGTTTGTCATAAAAGGGCACATGTACTCACTGGGTGTAAAGGTGACATGCGTTGTATAATCCTGTAACGGGTGTATTATACAAGGCTCGCTGTTGCATGGTTCCAACACTATGGAATGGATTTCTGCTTTTGACCCTGATAATGGACATACGGATCGGAAATAAAACAATAATTTTCAAATAAATGTCGAAATAATTGCTTTCCTGAAAAGGAATGTTTCGTCTTTACAAGTAAAAATATGTTAAGAGAATATAGTTATCTTTTTATTTTCGTCGTATTTTCTATTATTTCTCGTTTTAGTTTGTTTCATCAACGTTATACAATCAAACAAAAATAGGTAAGCAGCAAAAAGAAATGTTCGTGAAGTTGGCAGCCTAACAGCCTGAAGTTGGCAGCCTAGCAGTCAGGCAGCCTAGCAGCCTGAAGTTGGCAGTCTAGCAGCCTAAAAAACTAAGGATAGTACAAACATGAAAACTGTCGGATATGAATCGGTAGCACATACTAAGACCATTCCACGTCTTATTTCAATATCGGGATCCTTATTTTTTAAAACATTGAACTCTTTTTTTTTCATCCTGACGCTCCGAAATTTGTGACGTTAGCAGCCTAGCAACCTGGCAGCCTAGCAGCCTAAAGTTAAAAATTATGTTAAGATAAAGTTCAACGTCTTAAAAAATAAAGATCACGATATTGAAAAAAAGCGTGGAATGATCTAAGGAAGTGCTACTGATATATTTTCGACGGTTTTCATGTTTGTACTTTCCTTAGTTTTCTTTAGGCTGCGAGTCTGCCAGGCTGCCAACTTCAGGCTGATAGGCTGCCAGCTTCAGGTTGCTAGGCTGCCAACTTCACGAACATCAAAAAGAATCATTATTTGTTTTATGTATTTATGGTTGAAAATCGTACATACCGCAGTCAATGTAGCGAGTCAAAGTCACCGCAAAACTTGTTGCAACACAATAGATTGCAAATACTACCACAAGTTTTAACATCTTGAGAAATTCTGCCTTATTTTCAGAGCTCTATATCTTATCTTTAATAAAAGGTCACGATTTTACTTATCCTGAGCAAGACTTTCTCATCCTGAATATTATTTCAAGATATCATAAAATTCTGACCTTTTGACCTTAGGCGGATATGTAAGTTGATAAGATTAGAGTCGAAATGAAGATGTGTTCGAAAATTCATTACGTTTGTTCTAAGATTCTAAACTGCTTCAAATTGAATATTAAAAACTGAAATATTAAAAAGGTCTGCATGTGAAATTGTAAAATCTGAAGGGGAGTGGTGACCTAGTGGTTAAGGTGTCTGCTTCTCAACTCAGGGATCATGGGTTCGAGCGCTAATCGGGTCACGACCATGTTTCTTCAGTACTGGTTGATTCCAGGAGGTGACTCGGAAATGATTAATATAAATTGCAAGAACTCGTTCGCAATCAAGCTTAAAACCAGTAACATCTGAAAACGTCGTTCAACGCAGAAAAATTAAAAATCATGCAGGTTCGATTTTATTGATTCTGTATACGGGCGGCAGTGATAGAATTGGTGCAAGTAAGCTTCCACGTCCCAAATCATTTGCTTCATTCAAGATTTAAATATACAGGTGATAAATTTTAGAATTTTATTATATCCTCATATTTGATCATACACTTTGCTATTCCAATGACCTCCAATCAAAAGAGTGTACTTCAAACGAGAAAACAATAATGATCATTCTAGTTGTACAAACTGGGGCTTAAAGTTAACGTTTCAAACAAGGTATCTCTAACCGATTTTGATTTTGACATAGTTATTTCTACTGTGAAACAAACGCACCTCAACGTACATACGTATTGAATTAAACATTGCAGATATCCCAAGGGCAATGAAACAGAGTTTAAAAGTGAAAAAAGACTCGTTTTGATCGACCTCTCACAACCCCTCGGTTTGTGCACGTCGCCGAGTAGGTGCACAGGGCATCGGTAGATTACTTATCAACCTACTCGACAGTGAAAGCTGTTTTTCTTTGCCCCATGCAACGTGTAAGACGACAAGTTCGCATGTTTTCTACAGCTCGGAGTTACGTATAAGAAGGCACGACTTAGTTTGCATGAAGTTAGCTGCCGGTGTCCTGACTAAAGCCGAGGCAGACCCTTTGCTTACACAACAGCCCTTTTCAAAGCTAGCACTTTTTCATATTGTCTCAGGTTACTTTACATTATGATTCTCATTTGCCCCCGTACAGTGACCCTTTTTAGACTCATAATACACCGTGGACATTGCATGGAGGTAAATTATCACCACTTTGTACTTCAAAATTAAATCTTCAAAAAAATTCAAAATTCAAAAATTTAATTCAAAAATTAAACCTGAACTGGTGACATATCCGGGGTCCGTACTCAACAGCGAAAGCTGCTTTTTGTGCCTTAACGGACGAATGGACCCTCATTAAACATAGTCTACCGGTGATGTTTCTTTTCAATTTTCGAAACAACCTGTGATTTTCTGAGCACGATAAATTAGAAAAGGGTGGAAACCTGAAATTAAAGTCCAACAACTGAGAATGGAATTTATCTATACATTTTTATAAATTTTTCAATTTCAATTCAATTTAACATGCATGGTACATAACAGTCGCTACCTATAGCTGTATTTCAGTCAATTACATTTATCAATAATCTGACATAAGTCAGCTGCTGTTAAGTCATGGTTTTGGTGAAGAATGTGCACAGGGCATTTCAGGGGAAAATATAGCATATTTAGGAGTAAATATACATATTTTGGGTATGGGTATACAGCCTTTATTCGGCTGTAAGATAAATGAAAAATCTCACTGAGTTGATAGATGGTTTTAGAGCACGTTTTCAGTGTCGTTATATTTTTCGGTCCTTCGGGATCATTGATGCAAGCACTATTAAGGAATGAGAATTGAGTACCGCTTAAGCCGGTGCTAGGGGGGCGTGAGGAATGTTGCACTTATTCATTATCCCTTGTGTACAGACTCAATCAAACCGAGTCTGCAAGTTACATGTAATTTTGTTGTGATTAATGCTTTCAAGGGATCACATTGTTTCCAGATTTTGATTCTTATCATTTTAAGTAAGAAGCGATAAATGTAAAATAGTTTGTTGTAAAAGTAGTGAAATGTAAACAAAGTAGTACTTTGACTTCAATACAAAATACTAATTCACTGGAACTGTATTAACTGCCAAAACAACAACAGATGAAAAAGATGGTTCAGGTAATTGGCCAATGAGTTACCTTTTAGAAACTATAAAAGGATACGTAAAATAAAAGGTTTTGAAAAAAACAAATAAAGCATTTCTGAGACATAATGGGCCTTTAAAGTGATTCTAACATCCTTTTTGTGGTGTTAATGTGATGGGTACAATGTTATGTATATTGAGCGTAAAAGCAATAGAGCACCCAACTTTATAAATTATATACAAACACTTCCGTAGATTTTAAATAATTTATTGATAATCTGAACAACGTATATACAACAATAAGTCACTGAGGCAATGTGCATACACATTTGATAGATTTATTTTCTTTACTTCTGTTCACTTTCTTTGAATCTTACACATTTTGCGTAGTTGACACACCCGTGTAAGATGTTTCTAAAGAATTGAGCAAAAATTAATTTGAAAGTTTGTGATCCAGTTCTTTTTTTTTCAACATAGTTATCCGAATTAATTTTTTTACTTGCTCGTCATCATTGCTACGAATTCTGTAATTATATATATAATAAAATGAATTTAGGGATATTTCATCTTTTAGAAAGAAAAAAACAATATGATTTTTATAAGATGCTGATTTGAATCTAACTTAACATGATAGAATGAAATCTGTGTAATGGAATTAGTTTTCGGACATTCCTGTCGTGGGTTTAATCTATCTATCTATCTATTTGGATGTCATCATTTTCACGAATTCTGAAAATAGAAAAAAAAACATAATTATTTTTATGCATAACTGATGAACTTTGCAATTAATACGGAACTAAAACATCGTTATGATGCAAACTTTATTACATTGGGTAACTCAGTAGAATAGGGACATAGACCAATTACTCGAAAGTATACTGATGATTCAAACAAGAGCACCGCATGCGGTGTTAACGCTCGTCTGTTAAGGAGGAATGGAATGGGTATCAATGGGTATCAAAACAAATTTGGCAAATAAAAGTCTTCGGAACAGACGAGCCAAAATAGTTTGTAATGGTGTATATCCTCATCTGACGCGCAATGAAATCAATCTTAAATTTAAAACATTACCTTATAGTTATACATTAGAATGATATTATAGGAAGGAAAAATACTTTTTAAAACCTGTCAGACATACTTCTAGATAGATGTTTGAAACCAAGTTAATTTAGATAACAAACTATCATGTATAGAATTTATAAACAAAATGACCTATTTTCTTAAACTAATGAACTTATATTTTTAGTACAAACAACGTGTAATATAGCAAATATAGGAATGTTCTTTTCTACATTATTTATTGTGCAACATTTTCTTTCTATTCTAAAAAAATTCAAAGTTTTATATTCATGTTAAAATGTTCTACAAAATAATTTCATGCGAACATAAACTTTATTTTTGCAAATTCTACATGTTACGCATGTACAGGTAAAAAGCATTTCTGTAACTATAGTTTTTGTCTATAGTTATCCTAGAAGTTAGGTTTTAATACACTTATTGTCAGTTTTCGAGCCTGCTGGTGTTTAATGATATTTTGGGTAATTAATATTATTCGGACTGTTACACGAAAAATTATCTTGATATCACGAAGATAGTTTGTTTTTATTTCCAAACAAATTAATTTGAGTGTAATTTTTGAAGTAAAAATAAATGAAAAGATCACTATGTAACAAAGCATGTAAGTAACAAAAAAGGTTTTTTATCAAATGAGCTTAGCCGTCGTGTATATACAATATCAACTTTTGAAGTGCTTGCATTATAAATGCTATATAATGTGCAAGTATATATAATGCAAAAAAGAAAATAAAACAATATCAAGGAAAAATGGGATTCAAACCTTAATCAAAGCGTATATTGAAACATCGTAAGTTTGAAATCTGAAAATGACATCATAATAAACGGACAGAACGTAGTCGTAACTTTAGACATTACTGTCACGTGATGTTTCACGTGATTATTTCATTAATAGTTTTCCACAGTTGTGACAGAACTCCATACATTCTCATTATCTTTACATTATCTTCTCTTAATGCATACTAAGCACACATTTTCAATAAATTTTATTATGTGACGGTATTTTTTTAAATTTCAATACAAGTAGGAGAAGTTCATAGAAACGGACTATATGCAGCCCTTACATATATCACTAAAATGGAAACGGACAATGAACTAAGTCATAGCTGGGAAGAGTCAATCAAGGATGAAGTGGTAACAATGATCACGTGTTTGCATCATGTAATGGTCGGGCTTCTAGCGTGCCACCACGCTGTTACTCACTATTCAATGCAAAATCAATGCATTGTAAGTATAACAATAAAAAACATTGAAATAAACACCCCTAGGTAAATGTTCGTATTTTAGTGCTAAAGTAAGACCAATAGAATAAAAACATTCCATATCTTGATAAAAGTTTTGACACAGATATATATACCCTTATTAAAAAAGTTTACAAAAGTGCATGCTTTCTTGTAACAAAGTGGCTGACAACACTTAATACAAACTGAGCTGTCTAACATTTTTTTTTCATTTTCATCATCAGTAGGTATTCTATAATATTATAAAAATCATACAATGAAAAAATACGATTATAAACATGAATAACTTGCATAAACAAATAGAAATACGAAAATATATATAGATGCATAGAGGATATTAAAGTTTATTCTATAAATACAGGATTAATTTTCATCGAGTGGTATGAAAATAAATATTTGACGAGTGAAATAGGATAATTTTCAAACCACAAAATTTTCTGTTTATTATAAACATTTTGTTCTTTTTAGACATTATTATTTGAAAGACTTTCCCTTAATTTTTGCCTATAGAAAGAAGTCCGAGAAGACACCAGTGAAAATTCGGAAAATAAATTTTCACTGCCATGAAATATGAATTTTTTACAGTTAAAATACGGAAAATAAAAATACGCATTTTATTTCACCAATATTTCTCAATATTTCATTTATACGAATGTTATTATGATGAACGTTGTAGCAAGCCTGACTACCCTGATTATCAAATAACTGAACTCATATTAGTGTTGGCGATACAATAATATTATATTTCTGCAGTTCTGCTTTGATAATTGTACTTGTTAGAAAACCATAAATAAAACCAAGCCTAAAATCATGATCTGGTAATGTTAATGATAATGTTGATGGAATAAATCATATAAAAACTGACATTCTGAACAGTTATCATAAATGTTAAAGGAATCTCTAGTTTTAGAAAATATTTTGACTGAAGTGATCCAAGAAAAGTTAATGTACAAACACAGAAATTTATCTGAGCGAGTCGGGTTTTATCAAAGTGAAAGTATATATCATCAAGAAGCAAATAAAGCAGTACTGTACCTTCATAATTTACTTGTCCATCACCGTCAATATCTGCTTCCCGGATCATTTCATCTACTTCTTCGTCTGTAAGTTTTTCACCGAGGTTGGTCATTACGTGACGAAGCTCAGCGGCACTAATGAAACCATTACCGTCTTTGTCAAACACTCGGAATGCTTCTTTAATTTCTTCTTCTGAATCAGTGTCTTTCATTTTTCTGGCCATCATTGTTAAAAATTCGGGGAAGTCTATCGTTCCGTTTCCTGTATCAAAAAAGAAACTCGTGTGAAAAATAATGGGTAAGTGACATCAATAAAACATCATCTGAAAGAATTCCTATTCAAAGGATCAAGAAAGTAATAGGTAGTGTACATATGTGACATCACGATTTGTGTAAGTCCGAAAGTTTTGCTTTTCAATAGTAAATTCAGAATTAGTTTTGAAATTGAATTAAAAAAAACTTTATTCTCTGAATATGTAGTTTTGTCGACATAATGCTAAAACAATGTTTTCATTCGTCAAACTTTCCAAACCCTTGCGGTACGGAGTGGGAGGTGGGGCGGAATTTCCACATATGTATACATAAATAAATTTGAAACTACTTTTAAATTGCTTGCTATGTAATATACATGTAATATACATTAACTTATTAATGCAGATTTGTAATTTATATTTGATGAAGTAAAGATCTAGGTTCTGACTCACTAGAATACTTCAAAGTTTACTTGTCGCTAAGAATTGTTATTTTAGACATTTTAGAACGCGCCTTTGAGTAGAACGATCAATAATCTGTAAAAACAGTATCACTGGCATTCAAAAGGACTCTAATATACATACCATCAGCATCAACTTCATTGATCATGTCCTGGAGCTCGGCTTCTGTTGGGTTCTGTCCCAGTGATCTCATAACAGTTCCCAATTCTTTAGTTGTGATGGTTCCATCTCCGTCTTTGTCGAATAGACTGAAAGCCTCTTTGAATTCTGTACAAATATAGTTTAAACCGACCATATACCAGGATTGTTTAAAACATCGTGCATTTTATCTGACACTTCAAATAAAGAGTCAATAAGAGTCTGACCTACATATAGCTCTTATCAATATTAAAAAGCTTTTCATGGAAGATATGATTAATGTAAGGTTGAAGTAAAACAATGGTCAATTTTCCGAAAAAAAATTCAATTATTTTTCTTGTACGAATTATTAAGACTTCTCCTTTAAATTCTGAGTGCATGTTATGCTAACCAAGGTTTTGGGAAAAAGGTAAAGAGTTTTGAAGTTTAATGAAAGACTGTACACACAAGCGGCTTTAAACTTTATTATTCCAAGTATTAAAAGGGTTAAATACAGTGTAAATTCTATACATTTGAATAAAGAGTGTAAATTAAAATTTGTTTACGGATGGGAGATTTAAATGTAATAAACTTTTTGCAATTTAAATATTTTGACAAATAACAATGTGATCAAATAATGTTATTGATATATATATATAATTCATGAGAAATATTTCGCGTTCTGATTAAATGAGATTAAAATACGGGTAGAATAGGAGTGTCAAATAAATAAAAAGTACATACTCCATTGATTGCTTTTCAAAGTGAAATCGCATTTGAATTTGAATTAACTAGTAAAAAGAAGTAACGCGGGTTATTAATTTTAATTGGAAACAAGATAAACATTATTTTCGTTCACATACCAGCAATTTGTTCTTCTGTCAGTTGGTCAGCCTGAAATAAATAGAAGAAAAAAATATAGAAAATATTATAATTTTAAGACTGGTAATTGTTTCGAGCTCAAAACCGTTTGTGCATGATACATTGGTCATTGGCAGCCACGACCCCAGCCCCAGGGCAGGCTAGAAATGAGCAGGGTTTCATTTTTAGTCCATCCCCGCACAGAAAGGTCATTGTGGTGGTTTTGTTCAGGCACTAAATGGCCCGGACCACGACCGAATTGCAGTGCGGAGACTTTTTTTGCGTTGACTTCGATGTCTCCGCAGCTCGGATTCTTTACCAGAGGTTTGAACAAAGGGTCGAACCCCTATGAGTAGCAGAGCCTAAGTACTGACTCCTACGTAAGTGCCAGTCGTTTCAAATATTTTTTGTATATCTTCAGTGTTTTAAAACTCAAAGAGACTAATTAAAATATTATGACTAACTGGCCGAAAAAAATCATCATTTTAAAACTGAAAATCGATCGAAATTTATTTGTGCAAATACTGTACAAAAGTATAACAGAGTTCCAAAGTGAAGTTTAATGTTACTCATAAATATAACTCGATATGTTTTAACCAGTTTGTTCAAACTTATTTACTGAAATATCAGCGGTACATGAATTTTTAACACGGCGTAACTCGAGTCAAGGTTCTGGATGCACGGTTCTTCGGTGATAACATACCCACGGGACACATTTTGTTGTTTACTCAATAATTTTTCAGGCAGTCGGATGGATGAATACGGAATTATCATTATTAGATATGGTTAAAAATTTGTTTGATCAATAAGCGTTCAAATAAATTCGCAGAACAAATGATAGCGGAGAAACGAAACTTGTTGTGCATGATTCATGAATAATTTTAGCTACATGTCCTCGGAGAAACAGTTCAAAGGTAATGTGTGTAATCAATGAATCAAAAACTTAACTTTCCTAATGGTTTTAAATAAACATTAACAATATATTTCCCCTGTTGGAGCATTTCTACAGCGCAGGGTTGCTATCGTTTAAGGAAATTAACAGTCGACTTTCTGGTCCAAAGAGAGATTTATCTCCCAACTAAAAATACAAAACCAACCTTTAACTGATAATCAGGTGAAAATATATGAGCATTGAACCTGTTTGCATAAAATATGAGAAGTATTTAAAATAAAACGTTTGTTTCATTTGTCAATAAAACAGTACAAAAATCAAACGTGTTCGGGAATAAAACTGCATGTATTTGAGAAGTATGACTAATTATAAATAATTATATATAATTTTATATATATTCTTAATGTTAGAAGCTGCATAGGTTTGCCTATGTCACACGCAAAAAGTGTTAACTACCGATGTTAACCTCCCTAAAAATGGATGTAAGAGAGTTATGAAAACTTCGCGAGGTAAATACGAGTTAACAAATCCCAAGCTCTTGACAAACCAAGATCGTTGTCGTCTGACACTGTTACATGTGTCTATATATAGTAACTGATAAACCTTGTGGGAGGGGCAGATAGGTCAAGATTTAGGTCGCATAATCATTAAACAAATATATGAAAATCCAGACTAACACGTTTATTTAGTTTCTTTGTCAGAGTTTATATTTGGCGGGACATTGCTAAATTTTACTTGTCAATGACCAATGCAAATATCGATCCGCAAAGATACTAGTTAAAAACAAATAGACGTAACTATGAACCGTGAGGTATGATCAAATATTTAAACAGTAAAATAGAAATAATGTTTAAGAGTTGAACTTGAAACTGACCAGTAAATATTTCTTATTTTGAAAAAGTCCCTTTGAGTAGAATTATTGATATGCTAAAACCTTCTTATGTTATTTATAACATTTTTTAATTAATATGTTTATAACATATAATATTATATTCTCGTTATTACCTAATTAATATCTTTTGAATAGTGACATGTACATAATATGTGATTGCTTGGGATACTTATAATTCATTATTTACGTATTAAATAACTAAGTAAAACAGTTATTTAATACGTTAGTCATTTTTTAAATGCGAACATGTCTGGGCGCATTCTACATTAACATAAATATACCTTTCCCCAATTCAAACATTGTCCACTTGAATAAAGGTAGTTACAGAAAATTTATCGCTTCTTAAGTATACGTATATGAATGCTTGTAAAATGTTCATTACGAGTCGATTCAATGAGCCGCGTCACGACAAAACCAACATAATGGGTTTGCGACCAGCATAGATCCAGACCAGCCTGCGCATCCGCGCAGTCTGATCAGGATCTATGCTGTTCGCTTACAAACTCTATTACAAGAAGAGAAACTGATAGCGAACAGCATGGATCCTGATCAGACTGCGCGGATGCGCAGGCTGGTCTGGATCCATGCTGGTCGCCAACGCATTATCTTGGTTTTGTCGTGACGCGGCTCAAATATCTTTCAATATGGAAACAACCATTCATCTCTTTTAAGTATGTACATGTACAGACTGAACAGCAGACGACGTTAAAACGAGACGACATCTTGGTCTGAAATAGTTGCATGCCGCCAGCAGTCATTTGTTTCAAGGCATTTCATTATTCATCATTAAACTTCCTTTGCCTCGTTTTTGAAATACTATATTTCAGTTTTCGTGATATATCATACGTGACTAATTAACACCCGGATGTGAAACTGCAGACAATTTTGCCGCATATATTATACGTGTACTAGGTTTATTTTCAAATATTGTTTTCGTACATTATCTCCATATTTAAATAACCCTAATTTAAGTGATAAAACGACACGAATGTGACATTAAATGACCATTAAATGACACAAATAGCAGTTTATTTATCATATAAATAATGTTGATGATAATGATGAGTATCTAAAAGAGGTAAACCTAAGAGATGTTTTAAAGTTAATCAATTGGAAGTCTGCATCGACTCATACATCATTGAAAACAAATAATTCCAAAGAAAAGGTGTATATCAGTCTTTTAACACAACTAATTATAAGAAACATTTTTTGTGTGTCTTCAAGCATGTGGAAAGGAATATGATCAAAGAAATGACAGAGGAAATTTTAACTCTGGACTGATTTCCTGAACAGACCAGACCATACGCACAGTGTGGTTGAGAAAAGCTTACATGCCCGTACGTAAGCGGTATACGTAAAGGGACCTACATGAACTGCAGTTTTCATACAGAAAATAATCTGGTACCTCGTGCGATGCTTTCATCTAGGTTGGGGATTAGAATGGCCGGAAATACTCTTAATCGAATTAATGTACGCTTAATTATAGTGATGAAGAAGTTTTAAACTTAAACATTTCCGTGTATCACATCACGTGAATTATCGTGCAGGTTTTTTTTAATCGAGATACTCGGCAAAAACAATATAAGAATACGTGAAATATCTAATTAATGGGAAGTACAAGTTTATCTCACGAATGTCGCCAGCTATTGAATTAATCTTGCAGGCCAGTTATGCCCCAGACATGCTTTAACTATTATTTCTCGAAAGCCTTTAAATCTTGGTGTAATTTTATATTATCCAAAAAGTTACTCATCGGCTAATTGCATGAACCTGGACGTTTTTTTTGCATCTGCTGCTTTTTGGCAATTACATGTAGTACAGTTACAATTAATAACTTTTTGGTATGGAAGTCAAAATATTACTTTGTTTATATTTTGCCTCTTCAATTTTTTTCACAATTATCGCTAATTTCTTCAAGTAACAAACAACTAAAATTCTCTAAAAATATTATCAACTAATTATTTAAACCTTAAAAATCTTTATATTTGCCCTTTCTAAAGACGAAAAATATTGTTTCTGAGGCATAATGTGCCTTTAATTTGAAGAAATATTTGGCGATTAATGACAATATAGGTCTATTATCTTGTTGAATATTTGTTTTACATCCAAAATAATATCAGTTTATTATCATTGATAAATTCATAAATTTACATGTCAATAAATATCTCCATACATACACAATATTTCAAGTGAGAACGTGTCCCGTTATTTTCAAATCGTCTAAGCCACGCATAAAGTAAATAAATTCAAAAACTTGTCAAAAATGAAACCAGCAGTGAAAAAAACTGGAGTTCAAATATAATACTAAATATTCAAATTGCAAATATCTTTCATTTATAATAAAACGTGATAACAAAGTTATAATACAGGTGAATATCCTATCAAATTATTTACGACAAATAATAAAATAATTAAATTAGACGCAACATACTAAGTGTATACCTAAACTTCTTATTTTATAATTAAACATAAAAAAATCTATAAAGAAATTTAGGTCACTTACCATTTTCTTTTTATTGTAAGTTACTTTTGTCTAGATCCCTACAGCACGACGGCACAATGTAATCTGTGGTCGGTTTTTATCGTACAGCTAAATCGTTACCTATCTATCCGGGGTATATCCGATTATACGCCATGGAAAAATGTCGCATTGCGGAACTTTCGCTATTCTTATTTAAATTTCAACTTTCGCCATGTGTATAACGGTTTAACTTAAACTGTCAAAGATAAGGGTATATCAATACACGAAAATAACGTATTACAATGAAAACCCCCGGTATAATCTGAATAGATAGCATTATATGGGTTTATAAAACAAGTATACTCTTACATGTGTACGTAATATTTCGCTGTCTTAATCAACCGTAATCTGCCTTCTAAAGAAAATCTTTTAAGCACGTAAGATTCTTAATAATTATTGTATAATTTGCATTTAATGTATCATAACATATTACATGGTTATTGCACTTAAATTTAACCGTTAAGTCGTTGATTTAAAAATAAAACGCAAGTTGTTTCAACTTGCATTGACAAAGATAAGCATTTTGTGTAAAATAAAGAGAAAGGTAACCCTGTTGATGAATATTTTTTATACAGTTAGTTGTTTTTATGCATCTCTTTTTCTTATTATTTACCTGTTTATTTATCTATTCATTCAATTTAGACATTTAATTTAAAGAAACTCCACTGAGGTCCAAAATCCTAAAAACAAAACAAACAAAATTTCTTACATAGATAAAGTCGGGCACTCAAAACAGAAAGATATGCAAAATATATAGTATATGAAATATACTTAGAATACATTGACACACGAATTTTTGTGCTTTTTAGCAGCGATGCAACGCTTTTCAATTTTGGATCATTTTTTTTACATAGAGGATATTTGTTAAGTTCAGTGTAAGATCGGAATATATTTCACCGAGTGAGCACCAAAAGGTATATTTCACAAGTGGCGCAGCCACGAGTGAAATGTGAACTTTTGGTGTTCACGAGGTGAAATATATTTCGATCTTACACTAAACTAAACAAATTTTCTTTTTTTTACATGCAATCAAACGTTATTAAGGACATTTTTACCTAATAATAAATGAATATTGAAATTAATTATACAACGTGACGTCATTTACGACATCACGTTATTAAGTTGGTTTCCAGTTCTATGTACGCTGGTATTTCACTGAAACAACGTAAGGGGCTTAAATTCAAAACAGTGAAATTATCAAATTGATACTTTCATTGTTTATAACAGTGAAATTATCAGTTTTAATTCATTGATATATTTGTATAAACCATCGGAAAGCATGTAATAAAATTAGAATAATCATTCTGGAAAAACTGAGCGATAGATTGATCTGAAATTTTGTACACATTTTTTTGGTCCAGACCTACATCAAATGGAACATTAATCTTGGAAAATCAATTTCCATGTCTGGTTAAAATCTCAGTGGAGTCCCTTTAATTGCAGTTTTAACAGGTCACAATGACATGTATCTATCAAAAAGAAGATATTTTTCCGTGTCTATTCTTCAAATATTCGTGTTTTGATGGAGGACAAAATATTTAACTATTGTTTGGAAATATTGACCCAAGACATTTGATTATTTTGGTAATTATCGGTTTCCGAAGTAAATCTATACAGACTTAAATGTATGGTACACCGGTATATGTATAACTAAAAGGCCCATATGCACCAGGAATGCTATTATAATTTCTTTTCAAAAGCCTATTATTTTTGTTTCCTGTTATAGTTTCAAAAAATTACTAAGTGGCCAGTTATCTCAACTTCTGTTGTTTGATTTTTTTACAATTAGTACAGTTACAATGATTTAGTATTTTGTATGGAAGTCAAAATACTACTTTATTTTACATTTTGCTAATTTTATGACAAATAATTTCACATTCATCGCTATATTATTCAGGCTATAAGCATCTAACATGCCGATAATCATTATTTGAGCCGCGTCACGACAAAACCAACATAATGGGTGTGCGACCAGCATGGATCCAGACCAGCCTGCGTATCCGCGCAGTCTGATGAGAATCCATGCTGTTCGCTTACCAACTTTATATCAAGTAGAGAAACTGATAGCGAACAGCATGGATCCTGATCAGACTGCGCGGATGCGCAGGCTGGTCTGGATCCATGATGGTCGCGCACTCATTATGTTGGTTTTGTTATGACACGGCTCATTTGAACGTTATAAAACACATTTTTGCCCTTTCTAAGGAAGAAAACTAATATTGGTTTCTGATGGAATATTGTGCCTTCAAAATTACCAGTATTACGCTTGACTTACTAGCCTCATTAACTAGGCTTACGGTATCAAATTGAAGGGTTTAGGTTCGAATTATGATGGGATATATCTTATCATAAGCATACGAATCACTCATTGAACGGCTTAACATATTGAAATTAATGAAGTGAAAATGTATGTATATATCAAAAGTAATGAAATACAAAAAAGGAAAATCAACGATTGAAATCAAACAAATGATATGAATATCAACTTTAGTTGGATATAACTTAAAGGAAGAACAAACGGTTTATGGAAACTAAAAAACAAATGAGCCGCGTCATGACAAAACCAACATAATGGGTTTGCGACCAGCATGGATCCAGACCAGCCTGCGCATCCGCGCAGTCTGATCAGGATCCATGCTGTTCGCTTACAAACTCTATAACAAGTAGAAACCGATAGCGAACAACATGGATCCTGATCAGACTGCGCGGATGCGCAGGCTGGTCTGGATCTATGCTGGTCGCAAACTCATTATGTTGGTTTTGTCATGACGCGGCTCAAATGTCCGCCGACGAGTTGGAACTTGCAACTATGCGATTACAATGTTGTTGACGTAACTTCAGTAGCTATGCCCCGTTATTATGAATTAAAGAATCGAGAACAAATTTAACTTTACTTACCTGAATGCGGTTATCGTAATAAATTACGGAAACTAACAACAAAAAAACAAAACAAAACAAAAACAAAACAAAACAACAACAACAACAACAAAACTACCATTTTGACAGTTTCTGTTTCTGATCACTATTATTGTTAAACAATGATTTACATCATGGAATTCATCTGCATATTCTTTTTAGTTGAACGACAGAGGTAAAATATGAGTCACAAAAGTTACGGTTTCGAAAACACGAAACCTCTAAAGTACAATGACAATGTTGAAAACTAAAAAAGAAGCAAACGCAAAACACAATGATAAAAATGCGATGTAATATCGTAACTCCACTTCTACTAATCTTTTACTTGCGATTTCTGTGATTTTGTCATCGTATTTTCGCGCGATCTCACACTTTCGCTAACAGGCCCAAATTTGGTCTGCACGGTGCCTTGTAACACCGCACTTTGGGGACCAACGTACATTGGGGTCCAACTCCAAAGTGTGTTACGCACTTTGGGGTCCAATGCTGACCCGTATGCCCCGAGATTATAAACGTTTTAAAGGCCAATCACGCTTTTAGGTGTATTTCTCAAAAAGCTTTTAAATTTTGTTGTTCTTCTATAGGATCCTAAACGGTACTCATTGACCAATTACCTGAACCATCTTTTTCATATGTTGCTTTTTGGCAAAAAAGTACAGTTTTAGTGAATTAGTATTTTACATCGAAATCAAATACCTCATTGTTTACATTTTGATACATTAATGACAAATTAGTTCACATTTGTCTCTACTTTTTCAGGTAACAAGCATCTTACATTTATCTGATACCATTATTTAAATATTATAAAATTCATGTTTGCCCTTTTTTTAAGAAGTAACATTTTATATGTTTCTGAGGCATAATGTGCCTTTAAGTGAATAGAAACTGACTCTATATCACCCCTGAAAATTCAAGGCGGACTCCCTCTGTAATAAGATTTCGCTTTTTAAATAGTCTCTAGCGAACGGTTGTAATAGAACTTACAAATAGACGTTGGTTTGTTGATAAGCTTAATAATGTATTCATAAGATCACTATTTATAGTCCGATCGAGAAACGTGATATTACCAGAAAAATTCACTAAGGTATATTAATTAATAGTTCTTGGGAAAAAATATTAAATGCATTTTATAACATCCCGATCATATTTAAAATTGGGATCAATATAGTACCAAAAACTATCTAGTGGATGGCTGATGGGGATCTTTTTCGAAGCATCTTTTATTTTTAAGGAATACATTCACAATTCATGAACCATACTACGTTGTTATATGGACACGTGATAAAATTAATAAAACACTTTTCACTTAAGCATCAGTCATATATTTTTATTACTGCTGCATCAGAATTTTAATGGCACTTTGTAAGATTGATGTATATAAGTATCGCCCATCGTCTTCAACTCCGCCTCAAATATTTCAATGTCGCAGATCGAAAATAAGTCAGTACTCAGTATTTAGGCAGAACTCAGTTGACACCTTCAGAACTCTGGAACCCAAAGTGCGTTGATATGTAACATATTGACGCACTTTTAAGTCAATTTCTCGATTTTGACCCCAAAGTGCGTTGGACCCCAAAGTGCGATGTGTAACGCATTTTGGAGTCATACCCCAAAGTGCGTTTGACCCCCACAGTGCGGTATTACAGTGCCTCGCCGTTTTGTAACTTAAGGACGTTTTCGGGACATATAGGCAAAATTAAAACTGTTCAATAGAATTTCTTTAAACTTGGCATGTTGTAAGAATATGATAACAGAAACATTTTAAGCGAGAAAAAGATTGAGGTCACCATTCTCTTTTTCAGTTATCTGCCCCTGAATCAGATTGTTCTACTTATTTGAGGTTATTTCAAGGGCAGATAACTTATACATACTTAAATGAATTCTTGTTTTTACTTCTGGATTATGTTTTTCTTTTTATTGTTGAGTACAATACGTAATAAAATGCAATTCCTTACATGGTTTCTGTTCATTTTTTTCAATGAAAATAAAGGTACATGTACTTTAATTTTTAAAAAATAGGCCATTTTTAAGAAAGAATGCACAAGTTATAAGAAGAAGTGGGAATAAAAACTACCCACTCTAAATTTGTTCTTTAAATTTTGTACATCAACTAAAACGAAGGTAGGCTTCATGAAAATAAGAAAAAAAAATACTGTTTCCATTTATTGTAAATTATCTGCCCTTGAATTTAACAAAAAAGTCCAATCAAAGGGCAGATAACTCGAAAACGAGAACGGTGACCCCAATTTTTTTTCGCTTTAAATGTTTCTGTTATCATATTCTATCAACATGCCAAGTTTAAAAAAATTCTATTGAACAGTTTTAATTTTGCCTATATGTCTATATGAAAACTCCAAAAAACGTCTTTAAAGAACGGCAAATATAAGTAATTTACAGTCTATAAATCTAAAGTTGACAGCCTAACAGCTTCGTAGCCTTAAGTTAGTAGGATTTTAAACATACGATAATTTAGCACCCTAGCACAAATTAACAGATAAAAGTTTATAGCCTTAAGTTTTGTAAAAGAAATTATAAACAATATAAAAACGGCCTAAAATACATTATAATCGCTTTCATAATTACATACCACGTATGTACGATATAAATAATCCTTTACCTCTAGGTTGCGGAAATAACGGATTAGCATCCTCGCCCCGTTGCTCCCGAATGACTTACATTAGAAATGCGCAAACTGTCCAAAATGCATTTTAATCATTTTCTAAGGACATAACAAGCCCATGTTTGATATGAAAAAGAAACATTTCCCATCCGACTTTGTATCTGTATTACATATGAGTTGAGTATGGTTTCGGAACAATGAGCAGAAAACTTTAATACATTTCACTATTAAAATGGCTAATCAATTTATAATTACATTGTACTAGTAATACGACTAAGTCTTTGGGCGTAGACCTGTTGCAATTACAGGCAAGATTTATAATAAAAATATCAAAATTCCTTGATAGGTAGGTACGATCCTTATGAAAGGAGAGTTCTCACAAAATTGCTGTATGAAGGGAAACAACCTCGTTTGGGAAAAAGTACGAAAGTACTAGTATTCTCCCTTTAAGTTTTCTGCTCTATTTGCTTCGATGACGACTTTAATATAGTACGATTATATAAAAAAAAGAATGCAAGAAAGGTAGCCCGTGTTTGTAGAACAGCTTTTTTTCACATAAACATAAGAAATAAAAGATATCAGAGACATAGATGTTATCTACATCTCTGAAAATATATATTGTCCTACACATGTCAATCTGCCGATAACTGGGTCATTCAGGAATGACATACTATTTAACTTTTTTTCTTGTAACACTTTCAATTCTTTATACAAAATGAGTTCTATTCAAGCAGCTCGCCGTCAGTTTCCTTGAAAATTTTGAAAATGTATCAAAAAAATAAAATATTGTTAACAAAGAAAGTAATTTACACATTGCAAACGGCTCGTTCATTCCCGGTTAATTATTAAATAAAGTTCAGAATATGCAGAAATAGCCCTTTAATGCGTTAGTCACACAGTAGAAGTATCGTGATAAATACTTCAATCAGTCATTTTATTGCATATAACATGTAAATCATCACTCAAATTGTGAATATCTACTTTTATCTAGACCTTAGTTCATTTTTCTAAAAGTGATTTTTTTTTAATTAATTTGCTTTGGCTCAATTGTAGGCATACAGCTTTAAGTACATTTTGAACATTATGCAGTCTTTCTTATCACTGCGAGAAAATAAACGATATCTCACTGTTATTTCTGTGCTTTCCAGTTTGCAACATTCGATTGAGATACATCTGGAATACTCACTTTGATAATTAGATTTTGTGTGTAATAAAACGAAATGTTCTTTATTTCTTTCCATATCGTATATGTGATTTTAAATAAGATTGTACATTTGTATTTTCTTTTCCATTGACTTTAAGAGTATTAGATTTGTTATCGCATTGTTCTCCTATCTATAGCAACAGGGTACCACACAGGCAACATTTTGATCAGTACGCCTGAAAAATCTTTGATCGGACGCACAAGAGCGACGCATTTTCGTATCATTCTTTTTTACACAGTTGACGAGTAAGCCGAAGTTGTGTCAAGTACTAAGAAATTACACGCAGTCTGTATCAATGTCCACTAGAACATATACAAAAATGGAGCATCGTCTCCAGTTAAAAGTAAAAAATGTGGTGTAACTCTAGTAGGTCCTATTCTACATCTAAGAACAACTTCAGGAGAAAAAGAGATGGTGATTCAACAATACAAGGATTGATCTCATGAAGTTTGTTATATACAGCTTTGTCCCATTTCAATTTCCATTCAGATGAAATAAGTTAACTTATTGAGAGTTTAAAAGCACTGTTTTGTAAGGATAAAACTACTGGTAAAGAATTTATGGATTCTTTTTTCAAAAGCATCTACTTTTTCATTTCCTCGTATTCCTACGTGGCTTGGGATCGAACATAAATTGACTGGCTTGGTTTTAAAATATCATGAAGCCACAAACGGCTTTTCTTAATCATAATATTATAGGAATTTTGAATTGCAAATTTATCACCATTATGCTGTAAAGTGTGTGACAATTCTAGATTAATGGCTTAAGCTTCTGCAGTAGATATAGATGCATTATCAGGGATGTAAATTTATTTTCAAAGACGGTCGCACCACTTTGCGAAAATCTTTGGAGCCGTCAGTGTAAATTTTGAATAGATAGAAAGTAAGTTAGAATAGAGTCTTTGACCAAACTACAGTCATGCATAATTGACAACTATTAACTAAGGTGTGATGTTCATAATAAAGTTCATTGTCTTTTGGATTCTTTCATTTGAGGAAGCTATCCAGCTAGCTTACGGAATAGCGGTGCGACTTCCTACACCAGTAATGCTGGAAAGTCGCCATATGACATATATTGTGCTGGTGCGCAGAAAAAATAATTATAGCAGATAGAACAAAAAAATCATTTTTATCAATTATTATGTTCATACGAACTCACTTAGAACTCTGTTTACATGGTTTTAAGACATATTCTATAAAAAGCGATAGTTTTTTATTTCTAGAGAGGGCCGTGTTGCACGAAACACAGGATTTGTTTTTGCCTCAATAAAAGATCATGCTCGGAGATTGAAACAAAGTTGGGTTCCGACGGCTACACAAGGCGATATGATTGGCTTTCTCCTGCTGTCCGTCTGTTATGTCTGAAATACAATAAGGACTGTCTTTTGGAATCTATAAGTTCAGCTAGAAACATATTGAAATGTAACAATAGATTGTTCCTCAAATTCAGTTTTCTTTAATGTCTTCATTCAAACCGAATTCGAGTCAGCAACATTTTCAAATTTGCCGTGTTGGGCTTTCTTTAGGGATTCTGTCTTTCTTTATTTTAAGAATACATAACTTAGAAAAACGAAGTAAAGTATAAAGGTAAATCAGGTTAGACATTTTATTCTTTAACATTTTCATGAAATAGTTTATAAATACATACATAGTATATGCCGGCCAGCAGCATAAATGACATGATTGTGTACATGAATTGTGTATTATGCATACAATATAAATAGATTTATAGCATGGTAATCTTGATACATATGCATGAGTATAGGACGAAATATCAACTGCAAGTGAACACATTCTCAACGGCAGCGTATTGTTATGAGCAAGCACCGTTTTGTATTTTTATCGTTGATTTATATAAACATTTACTAGAGAAGTTAATAAAGTTTCTGGCACAACTTGAAGAAGGTTATAATTCTTACTTCGGCTGAAACTGTACGTTTTGAGAAATTTTAAAACGCAAGATTGTAGACTTGCTAAATTGAATATCATAACGAGTATAACATTCTAAATATGATTGTCCAATCGAAGCTTTGATAGTCTCGCACTCGTGTCAACTGTTCTGAACAGGAAGTTCATAAATTTTTTATCGTCTGTATATATTTACGCAATGCATTGTCTTATAATATTGCACATTTCCCTTGGTTTATATATATGGTATGGGATCCAAGAATTTTTTGCAAAGCTTTTGATTAAATGCGAAAAGAAAGCAATGCAAAAAATACTTGACCTATATTTAATATATTTATAATACTGGAGATCGGTACTAGAATATAACTTCTGACATATGTCACGTGTCTTGGCGTGTCTATCGCCTTAGCAACCTGCTAAAAATTCTGCTCTTCTTCTTCCGGTTCTTGAGAGCAAGATTAACTACACTTGAGAATACTTCCGTTACACCGTCCATTGTCAACGAGGAACATTCGAGGTATGCATCGGCTCCAATCTCTTTTGCAAAGGCCTCGCCTTCTTCTAGAGTCACATAACTATCTCCGGACGAATGTCGGCGCTTAAGTCGGACGTCTGACTGGCAACCAATGAGAATAATAGGCTTTTTACGTTTAACATGGGACTTTGCTTCCTGTATCCAGACGTCTTTGATATTCTGTAAAGAGTCCACGTCATTGACGCTGTAGCAGACGATAATGACTTCACTGTCTCGGTAACTGAACGCTCGCACGTCTTCATAATCATGCTGAAATATACAAATTTAATAGTTTATATAAGTATGCTTAAGTAAATATTTATATTAATATTTTCATACATATACATTAAAATAGTTTAATGTAAATTTTGTGTATACATGTAAATTCACAATAATAACTTCCATATCCGTCATCGCCTAAGTTATACTGTATATTCTAAATTTCGTGTATTTTAATACTTTTAAAATGCTATGCTATACAATTGTGTTATATTTCACATCTTTCACCGTGTGTTCCGTCTCATTTATTGGAATTATTTGGATATATATTTCTTGTAATTTGTTTTAATACCTGCTTCCTATTTCATTTAATATTTGTAGTCTACGTATTATTATGTTAAGTGTGATATTTTATGCAAATTAATGTTGTTGTTTTTGTTTATTTTCTTTAAATGCATATTTTTTATACTTATCATACTGTATAAGTTTGAACATGTATTTATATATCACTTTTCTTAATAGTATACATTTTAGCTATGCGGAATCGTTTTAATATGAAACGTTAGTTTGTTTTCTTGTTACATCAGCTTTTATTTTAAATTAATTATGAAGAGGTTTTTGTTTGTCGTTAAAACAGCTTGCAGGTAATGTTTAATTTATAAACCTTTGTTACGTGAAATAAACCTGTATCTTGTTTCATAGTATATATAGTAGTGTGCGGTGTTAAAATATATTTATCAAATATTTTATAATAGCCATTTTCGCTACAAAGATTGTGTTGGTCTGCCGTAAAAACAAACTAAACAAACAAAACAAGCTGGTTTTGAATATTTTGTACTGTCTGGCATTCATTTTTTACAAATGTTGTAATTCAGATAAGGAATATAAACTGGGCCAATATTAATTAATTAATAAACCTAATTTAAAGATAGCAGACGACAAAAACATGCACTGACTTGTTCATAACCCTTTATTCGGTTTCGTAATACGAAACCGAAAATTAACTAATTTGAGTCATTCCTTATTATACAACTACTTTCTTAATATAAATAACTGATTTAATTGCTCCATTTAGTTTCGTACTGCTCATTAATTTACGTTAAGATAAAAACATGGACGTCACACTGGGGCGTAGATCTATCTAAAGATCCGGGTTGAAGTATTTCGCTATCAACACACATGATGACTTTATCTATATTACCATGTAGGTCTACGTTGTTTGGTCCTTGTGACTTGTAAACAATCATGGGACTGATTCAATGTGAAATATTTAACCCATGTTTTAAGATAACAGGTTATCTAAGGAATGTATCCGGTTTTGGAACGGGTCAAGAGTGATTTTCTGTGAATCAAAATAACTAGTCCATTCGAAATAAATACAGATTGAAGGTTACATAGAGATAACGCAATTTATACATTCATAAAGGGAGATAATACATACAATTTATCTGATATATTCATCTATATGATTTAGGTGAATGAATAATTCTCAGCTAGAATTTATTTAATTATTTTTATGAAAATTTATTTGAATGAATTTAACAGTTTTTATTTGTTCTTACGTTCTTATTTGATGAATTATTTTACAAGAATAATCCGTCCTAACTCCTAAGTAAAAATTAATTATTCTGAGACTCGCTCTTTGAAGTATTAATGTATATCACAACTTTCAGTATACGATGGTTAACGCAAATGAACTGCGGAGGTTTTAACCGTTCACCTACAGGTACTGAAAGTGATATGACTTTCAGCCTATGCCAACAGTATAGAGCCAAGCCAGCCTGCGCATCCACGCAGTGTGACCAGGCTGTATACAGATGCCTGATTAAATTTTCATCTTAGTATCCCCTAAATTGATAGTGGTCTGTCCAAACAAGTAGAAGCTGGACAAGTCCATTTAAGAAATTCAATAGGTTAAAGGTTATGTATAAAGTCAAAAATTCCCCCGTTATAAGTTTATGACATGAGATAATAACAACACATGATTAAACCATATGATATGACTTTATTCAGGTGAAACCTATTTGTGTCAAATATAAAATATGTCATTTTGAAACATATAAATGTTTAAACGGCTGGGAAACGTATCGCCCTAAATCCATAACGCCCCGAAAACAAAACTAAGTAGTTATGACTTTAATATTTTGTGTCAACCCACTCAAATCAGAGTTGTTTTGAAGTATGTCATATGTGTGGTTTATATTTTAATAATGATGAAGCTGATTTTTTTGGTAAAAATACTTTTATAACATTACACCAATTTTAAAGTAGGAAAACATTCAAATTTTGAAAGTCATTTCATGTTTGTTTAGTAGTGTAACAATGGTTTAATAGTACAAATATATGCATTTAATGGTCCTGTTTACAAAATATTGTCTTATAGTCAAAATATTATAATAAGCATTTGACGTCATAGGGACTTTTTTGTGTAAAATAGAGTATAAAAAATAATAAAAAATATTCATATTTTATACCGATAATTGTGCACTTTAATTTTTTTATTGTGCTATTGTAGTGGGTCACAGATGTAGGTAATATGTAGGTCCACAGTTGTCCTTGAAAAAGTAACAAAAATTTGAAGCTACAGATTCAGTCAATTGTGAAGACTTTATTACCCTATCTTTAACCAAACGTGTTATTATATACAAGTAAAAAAATCACACATTTTCCAGTGAAACGAATGTCAATTTTTTTATAAATGTTAAAACTTGAAATTTTGAAAAACGCGTTATATTTCGGTTCGTATTAGCACGTGGGAGTTAAATAAAAATGCTTCGTATTGCGTGTTAAAAGGCTATTGTTACAAGTGAAAGCAATATATGATGTGTTCAAACAAAAAAATGAACGAAAGCCCGTTGAGCGTGTGTGGGCAAAATCTTCCCCAGGTTGTTGAAAATATACACTTTTTCTTTTCTTTAGATTAATGTTTTGTAGGCATGAAACTATGCAGTTGCAAACGGTCTAATTTCAACCACAACTAGTGTCATTACATGTATAAATATTAAATTTCAAAAGATACTCAAATACACCAGTTTCAGCCATTAAAATACATAAGAATTTGATTGAATTATATAAACTGATGAAACTTATTAAAGCAAAATGCTTTTGTTGAGTTGTGATTTTTATATCATATGAATGAAATTGAGAAATATCAGCAATGACAGAATAGCCGAGATGTATTTCATTTGTATTTGCCAACCTCAAACTCACATTCTGTAGTTAGATTTATCAAAATTATTATTATAATAACTGATAACATGTATTAAGATAATCTTGAAGATCAAAGGTTGTTAAAAAATTTCACTATAATCATAACTGTAAATGCCCTTTTACCCCATAAATAGATAGTATATTTCAGAAAACAGGTAATGCGGCGGGAAAAAATGTTTAAACTATTCAAGATAATTATAAATACATTTTTGAAAAAGATTGTACATATCACTAATGTTTTACATACCAAACAGATCAAAGTTTATAATGATACCGTAAATAGATTGGCTGAAAGTTTAAACCACGATTAGAAACTATTTACTGAATTCCTGTTTTAGATTTTGCGAATTACTACTAAACCTGTCTTATTATTTAAAGAATCTTCTAAAATCATCTAAGCCCGGTTCATCAGTTCAGCAAATTTTCCCGCTTGTCTATGAGGGATTTATTCATATTGTATGTTGCAATGTGAATTTAAGTCTGGCTTAAGACCCCGGTCTGATCAGCTTAAAACATCTTCAACCTTGTACTTTTACCAGGCCATAAATAAACGTCAGATATAGCTGCAGTCGGTCACATCCCCTTTACTTTTTTCTTCACATTAAATCAATTGCAACCGGCTTCTGAGTACCGGGTAATAAAGGGTAAGCATTTATATACATGTATAATAAATAACGTAATAAAAATACTAACCTGTCCTGGTGAGTCAAAGATGCTAACCGTGTATTGTTCTCCGTGCACTGACACTGTACCTATAATATATAAAAGTGAAATGTTAAAGGCAAAAATATTTACCCCTTATCCCTTTTAATTTTTTAGCTGGCTTTCTTTAAATGTTGGCATAGTTGTTAGGCTAAAACGGGTCAGTATTTAGTGTGGTCAGACTGAACTTATGTGCAACCTGTCTGTCTATACGCTGATGGTACAGATTTGTGGGGTAAAATTTCTCCTTTTCTCATTTCCCGCCAAAATAATGAATTGGCTTATTTCCTTCAATTAAAGTGGCATGCAACTGTCAGTTTAAACCTTGGCCTTGTTCCGAAAATGTTTACTTAAGGACTATTGTATTCCTAGCTAGGTCCTCTGTGACAGAAGCCAGATGGTAAAATCATCCTTCCCCACCCCATCTCCCATTCTACGAGTTGGGACGTATTCCACACTACTATGGAGCTTCATCTAAGAATCAGCATTGATCAATCAGTGAAAATAAAAGAAAAAAGCTTTGCTAAGAACCTACTATTATTACTGCAGTCTAAAGGGAAAGGACTGGGGTTTCAAATGGCTGATACATCATGGTCAAGTACACAGACAGGACAAAGTTAAGCAATATATGTAATAATTTATCATATCATTATTATACTTACTTGGACTATTTTTAGTTTTTTTTACATTCATCATTTCAAAAACTTTGTAGGTTTAAATTGCACTGTAAACACAAAATTGACTAAATTGAAAATGTGTGGCTAATTTGTGATGAACTCTTAGGACTTCTCCAAAACTACATGGACCTTATTTATAGCAGAACATATTAAAATCGAAAGTTCGCTCTAAGAAAGCACGATTGTATTAAAATGCACAATTTTTATGTTAAAACACGCACATTTAATTATGATAATAACTTGCACAATGCAACGGAATTTTACGTCAATTGTTTGAACCAAATGAGATATATACAGAAGTATCTGAAAATAGACAACTTACCAGCATAATTATCGAATACTGTAGCGACATAAGCCTCTCCGGGAGGCTGCTTATTGACGAACGCCAAAGCTAGAGAAGTTTTTCCTACCATTCCATCTCCTATCACAGTACAATTAACAACTTTCTGACTCATGATTTTGTCCTTTATCATTCTTTTAGTAAATGTTTATTATCCCTAAATCGAAGAATGACACTTTCAATACCAGAATATAATGTTAACAATGAGCAAATGCACAATTCTTTGTCCAAATTTTATTTCGATCTAAAAGTTCATTTCATTTCACTGTGGGGTGTATGCTTTTAGTCCACTCGCTGTTATTACGTCAGCTTCTAAAATTCACATTTCAATTCAAATTACTTTCTAATTCAAAATCGGACCGTTTGAAATTACTTCTTAACCCGTCTAGATTTCAATATTAAATGTCATTGTAGTCTTCATTAATAGTCTAGTCATACGATGTACAATGACGTCTATTTACTACGGTATATTACCACAACGGTAAACACTATCAACACATAAAAGTTGTTTAAAATGATGTTGCAGTTTGAAAATAGCTACAACGCTTTATATACCTGCCGTATTTAGCCCGTGAAACGACGGCCAATCAGACGACTGGTATCAAAGATAATTTAGATTTAAACATAAAGCTTATACATTAATACAGAGATAAAATTTAAATTCACATGGTTTAATCATGTGGCCCACAAATTTGTACGTTTATTGAAAATGGTAGGAAGTTAATTCAATTTCAGCGAAGACTGCTATCGTTAAAGATAACCCATATTTAAACCCGGGTGTGGCTAATATTCAAGTTAGTAAAGGTAAATTGCATGCGCGTTCATTTATTTACAATGCATGTACTATGTTTTCAAATATATCAAAATATTAAGTTTTCTGTTTACAACTACAAAGAAGAAAAAATCAAACAAAGAATGGCCATCTTTAGGTGGATATCATCAAATCAAGAACTAGGACTTGTTTCCAAAACAATTACCATATTGTAACACTCGTCTAGCAATATTACATGTTACATTTATTATCTGTATTATCATTATTTATCTGTTTTATTCTTTTTTCAACTCGTATGACCTGCGATTTGGACTACTGGTGTTTTTTGTTCGCGTTCCATGGCTGAAATGTTTCAAGATTAAAAAATATAATTTATGACACAGTGAAGGCCGAACCAGCTGGAAAGATGATTTTGGCTAGCCACGGTCGTTACAAACATACAGCAACACCATGGGTCAAAACCACCTCTGCAGAGATGCATAGACTACAGTTATTTGAACACAAAAAGTCGCCTCTTTCGATCACGCAGGGTTTAACAATGACTGCAATTCAGATACCTGAGCCATTGACAGCAACCCTTCCGTCACAAGGGGCATGATGAGTGCGCTTGTTTTTTTCCAGGTATTTTTTACTTTAGCATTCAGATAGCTTTCAGAAAATAATGCACGGTAAGGCAACTTAAGTACTATTAGTTCAATATGACTTTAACACCATATCATGCACTGTCTTTATAGGCCATTATCCTTTTACAAGAAACAATACATATGATGTATGACATTGAAATCCATTTATAGTTTTCAAAACACAGGAAGTTAATCTATATACTGCCGATATAAAGTTTGATTAATTAGTGCTATCGAGTGTATATACGTTTTTATGACGTCACAACGAATCTTTCAACGGTACGTGAGAATTTTTTAGCTAATAGGTAGACGTAAATAGAAACGTTGCATGATTTTCAGTACACAAAACTAGCGTATGTACTGTACTACATTATCTAACAAAGAACGCTAGTTTATATTTATTTGTTGGCAAAATCTTTTGAATATTAGTGTTCATTATATAATATGTACTCAATTTATCTTGAGTCATCGACCGAGCGTTTTCCTCTCATATATGTGTGTATGTAGATTTTTGATGCGCAGTAATATAATTATAGATTCGGTGCCAGTGAACTTTACACCGAACCTATCTATATTATCAAAATGCACCCTATCGTTTATTCCTTCTTTGCCTGGAAAATAAGGAAAGTCTTGTTAGAATAGAAAGTTTAAAAACAGACAAAAGCCGAGTAGAAATATAGTTTCATAGTATTTTAATATGCGTGGCTAGATACACACCATATGATCGATTGCGTCTCTAATTAGGTGACCACCAGGTCACTGACACATTGTTTTAACGTTCTTGGCACATTGTTTTAAACGATTTACTTGTCCGACGAAAGAACGTTTAAGAGAAAAAGAGGACATAGAAAACATGCATATTGATACATGACTAGTGCTTTTATGCATTTTTTATCAACTTTCTGACCGTTTCGTTAGGGACGTTCATTTCAAAATAACTACAGTGTTAATATCTAACCCGTGTTCTAATTTCATTTCTTTTTGACATCAGGCGCGTCATGAGTTTAAAAAATAACCGGTTGCAATAGTAACTAGGAGTTGTGTTTCATATGACATATTCATATGGAAAATAACTGGTATTCAATTTATCACTATATTTCATAACTAGTATCTGTAAATGAGACATTAACTCACAAGATGGGGCATAAATGTTCTCAATAATTTTAGAAGTGTTCCAATTTCACGAACAGTATTTATATAAATAACACATGAGCACTATTTGAACGTCTTATTTTAATTGAGTATCATTGACATAATGTTTTAAACTTACACTTAATATCTAATTATAGTAACACATACCGACACACCTGATCATAATACTATTATCATATGTTACGTTTGATTGCTCAACACCGTCGTGGCACGCCTGTCGTATCATTTGATCAATCTATATATACGACTTTAAACCTTATAACTACAATATCATTTAAAACAAGGTGAAACAGAATTCAATAATTGGTCTTGCTATCATCAAATTAGCTAATATGGTATATTATTTTATTTTAGTTTTGTGATCATGCATTTTTTCTGCCATATATCTCCCAGATAATACAGAAAAGTATGTAAAGTGATTGAGTAATTTTATGCTTTTAAAATACATTTGGTTGACCAGATGGCAAGCCTCGATGAAATAACACTAGATTTAAATCTATATCTTCTGAAATATTTTATAAAATTTATCAAAAGTAAAATAATATTGGTTGGTTGATTTCCAAAAAAGTTTTATCTGATTAGCAACGACTTTGTGTGTGCGCCACTCGCTTAAAGGCAATTCATTGCCATTTTTATTTCATACAAGCATTTAAGAAGTATTCTTTTTTAAAATCCAAACAATATTTTTTGCATCAGATATATAGCTTTACACACTTTAAATATCAAACAGACGCGAGACGGTCATATTTAATCATAAAAATGTAGTAGTAATATAATATTTAGGTGTTAAAGAAGCAAAGTTTAAAATAGATCTATACATACAATATTGGCGATTGTAATGCTATATGTTTGTGTCATATACGTTTGTGCTAATTGCATTATCTTCACATGTACTAGGCCAATTATTGGATAAATAGGTAAGCTTTAAATTAAATGTTACAAGGTGATCAGTTTTAAAAATACAGTGAAGAATATATCAATACACAGATTAACAAGGATGAGCCCCGTTCAATGAACGCTTTATCAGCATGCACTCTTAGAAGTGTTACTCAAAGCCATGGAAGAGAAAGAACCTCCAAGAATAATGAACGCAAAAACAAATCGCAGACCCGTTTAAAATTAGTCTGTACATGACAGATAGTGGCAAGTGCAACATTTCTCACCATCCCTAGCACCGGGAAATGCGGTTTTTAAGTTTCAGCACTACAATTATAAGAATGAATGGTCCCGAGGGACCAGAAAAGCATAAAAACACCGAAAGGTAGTTCATATGGCATTTTTATACAGCTGCCACAGAAACATCCATGATGCAAACATTCGACTACCAAAGCGTTTGAATGACCCAAAATAAACCAGTTTTCTAAAAACCACTTTATCAAAGTTTTCGCTGATTCATACACTCCTGTTACAACGATTAGTTCACCATAAAGTATGCTTGATTAGAAAATTTTAATCTTAATTCTGTTTATCAGACATACAGAGTTCACTCGAGATAACTTTTTGTTGAAATTATTAATTCATTAATGTAGGTGATTATAAAATTGCTAAAATCAACAAGAAGTACAATATGATATTTTATCATGAACATTATGAGATGCCATTATGCAACAATCATGAAATAATCATTAAAATATAATTATGCTAAAAATCTTTAAAAATAAAAAAATGAAACAAGCAAATCCGTTGAAATGATCTTCCCAGTCGAATGATCCAAATCACTGAATTGAAGCATCAAGGGTGGGAAAATTTATTTCATTATGAAAACGAGAACTATAGTTTCTTGAATTTGTAGTTGTCAATTTCAAGTTGATTTCTAGGAATTTGTAGTTATAAATTTGAAGTTGATTTCTAGGAATTTGTAGTTATAAATTTGAAGTTGATATCTCTAATAATTCTTCAGTTCTGATTGGAGAAATAATAGATGTGAAAAATTACAAAGAACTCCAAATCATGTAAATGAAAGTCATTGGCCATAAAATAGTATGCTTCTTCATGTTAAGATAAACACAGTTTTATAAATAAAACTTTAAAGTGATATTTTTAATGTTTCATGAGCACATATTTACATTAAACAAAACGTTCTTTTATTTCAAATTCTCAAAAATCCAAAAAATACTATGCAAATTCCACAATTGAAAATTTAATTGAAGGAAGAAAACTTAACATGTTTATTCATCTAAAACAAAATACAAAGGAACTTTTGGAGGAAATAGCAGAAAATAAAGACAAACTGAATGCCAAAGGTTCGTCTTATGGAAAATGCGCTTTCCTTTAAAGTTTGGTCATGATTTATTGTATTTTTTTTATTTTCAGAAAACCCAAATGGAGATGGGAAATCATCAAGCCATCCAACATGGCCGTGTATTAACAAGACATGAATACATTAACTTAAATAAGGAAATTACGTCTTGTTCGCTTAAAAGAACAAATTGACGGTCGTAAAAACGACCATGCCTCGTGAAAATATTAACGCCGCATTCCTAGGGCTAGAGCTTTGTGCCTTATATTGCTGTTAAGAAGAACCTCCAATTAAATTTTACGAAAAATAGTACATTTTATATAGGGAAATAACAAGTTGTGTTTGCACGAATTGCACCAGTAAATAGAGATTTTTTCAAATTTTGTTTCACATCATTTCACGTGACATAAAATGCAAACGGCTAATCAGAAAAGACAACACATAAATGTTAAAACGAAAAATTCTGTAGCGCTATTTTATTCATATAAGTTTATAGACTTTTTCATGTGTAAATACAATTTTTTTTTCAATCTATACATCAGTTATAATTAAAACTAACTTGAAGTGTACATAAATGAGTTATTATTAAAGGGTATTTTTCAAAGTAAAACACCCGAAAGTAATTGGAAAAATGTGATATCTTTCTCTTTAATATCAAAACCACAAACTTCAAGCTGGTGATAAACATTGTTGCAAACATGTCTTTAGGAAAAAGTTACAATATAGCCAAAGTTTGCAACAAACAAAAACAAATACTGTAAAAAAGTGTAAGGTACCCTGTTTTCGCAAAATTAGACCAATATCTCATCATTGCATGCGACAACTCTTTTTCCCAAAGCATAGCAATTGGAATTTGATCAATAACGGAGTGATATAATAGTTCGTCCGCATGGTTGGCACCATCTAGCCAGCTAGGTGTAGGGAGCACATGGAACACTGGTTTTGCACTAAATAGAAACATATCAACATATTCAACGATACATTTAACCTAGCATTAAGTCTGTTCATTTGTACAGCTGGAATAGCTCTAAAGATATCAGTGAAAAACGTTGCCACTTGCAGACTAATTTTTCCAGGATTTGAAGGATCTGTCCAGTCAGTGAACATAGAAGTTACAAATGTATGAACCTTATCAGAATATGCTTTGTTATCAGGCAGTTTTAATGCAGATTCTATAATAATTCTAAAATGATCTTATTTTGTTGGCTTGAATTGTTCAGCATAACTGATGTTTAGTAAATTTTGGAACAAAAATCCCGCATCGTATATAGAATACCCTTGCAAAAAGTCGAGAGTTTTAAAGAAGTCCAAAGACTTTTCGTGTTCTCTATTGTTTTCTTTTGTCAAGTCATTAGGATTTCCTTTAATAAAAGTACCATCTATTGTTGGCAAATAAAACATGTCTCGCAGCATGTTTCTCCGAGCCTCCACACTATATGCTTTGACGTCTGCAGCTAGGCTACTAGCTGATATATTTCGTAAGCAGTTCAGTGTGTCTGTTGAACTTTCAGATGAACATCTAAGGGATCGTACAACATAATCCGTCTCCAGCGTGTACCCAGAATTCCACTTGTACTCTGGTGACGTAACGCTATGACCATGAACTAGAACTCTTTGAAACAGACCCTTGTTTTCTGGATACAAAGCTAGAATTGGTGCACCTACCGCACCAGCAGATACTCCAAGAATCGAAACTTTGCTCTTATCACCTCCGAATGATACTTTATTATTATTTACCCATTCAAGGACAAGTTTCTGATCCCATATTCCAACATTACTAGGTGCATCGTTTTCATCTAACCGTAAAAATCCCAGAAGCCCAAGACGATAGTTGATAGTCACAACTATAATTCCACCGTATGCCGACAGATATTTTCCGTCTAATAAATCAGAAGAGCCCCATTTGAATCCACCTCCATGAATATACACCAATCATGATCATCATCATCATCATGATCATAATCATCATCATTATTATTAGTAGCAGTATTATTATTATTAACTCGAACGCTTTATGTGGCAAACGGTTGTACCCTATTATTCACTGCTTTTTTGAAAGATTTTATAAAAACAAGTTCTCTTCAACGACATTCACTTCACAACGGACTCACAACGGTGTATATAAAATTAATGTAAAATCAAGCTGTATCAAATACGATTGATAAATTATTAACTTACAGACGTAAAACACTTAATTGATACCAAAAGCCTTTCTGTACATTTATCTTATTAAGCCAGGGACCTAAAATATTAGCTTGTTTATTCCTCCTTATAAATCGAAGGAGTAACATTATATACAAACCAATATTATTCATTTTGTCAACTTTTAAAGTAGAAAAAAGTACATGATATTTTAATTAAAAAAAACGTGTACTATTAGATGAAATAGTATATTTTTATTTTTTTCTGTTATTGATAGAAATCGTATTCCAAACATTAAAAAATAAAAATTAAAAAAAAAGTACAAACAACAATACACATGACACATTGTTTATTAGAATTTCATTTTATAAACACATCAACGTAATCATTATTTTATTAGCTTGACTATTCGAAGCAAAGGAAGAGCTATTTATTCACCAAGGCGTCTGCGTCGGCGACAAACTTTAGTTAAGTTTTTGCTCTCAAGTTTCAAACTTTAAACTTATTTGAAAGCATAACAGAAGGTCAGTGTCAAGGGGCAATTACTATAACATGGATTTCGACAGAATTATGACCTTTTATGATATTTTTCTGTAAATTCTACATTATCTACGCTTTCGTTTAACTATCAAGCACTGAGATAAGTCGAGCACGCTATCCTACTGAAAACTCTTGCTGATTACATGTACTAAGATTTTAACAAGTTATTTGACCCACTTCTATACTTTTGTATTTTTTATATAACCTTATCCGTTTATATAAACTTCTGATCTTGGTAACAATTGTTAAAACCCGTAAATTTCCTTCAGTCTGGTTAAAATGAAATTTAATTCATGGATTGTATATATTTCAATGCAGTTTTACAAATCAGTTTATAAGTATGTACAGTTGTTTACATGAAAACGAATAAAAATGTTTCAATGCTCCAAGAGCAATTAATTTCAAAATTTAAACTATTTAATTAAAACGCGCGAACTCTTTATAAGGGTATATATGTTAACGTCTATTACAATAAAGGTATGTAATCAGAGAATATTAAACATTTACAATGTTGATGGAGTTACTTCCCCTATCTTTTTCAGCAAGGATAATGAAATGATAATGTGTATTCATCTTTAAGGCCAATCTAGAAGTCAAAATACCTCTTTGTTTACAATTTTTGTTACCTTTTTCAAAATTTATATTTCATATTCAACACTTTATATAGGTGATGAGCATCTCTCTGCCCTTTCTGCATAATGAAACATTTATTCATTACCCAGGCAAAAGAAACGAGTTGAGCAGACGAATTTTACAAAAAGAAATCTTGGCATAATTAAACTTAATATTCTTAATGCAGACTTTTATTTTCGGTTTCATGCTGAATTAAAAACATTGTTAGTTATACGGGGGATCAACACAGTCTAGTATTGGTTGCTCGTTATGAATGTTAAAAAAGCTCCTAATGATTCTAAAAAGCCTAAAATATAAAGTTTGATAGTCTTACAGAGATGGGACACTTTAAACTGAAAAAAATATGCAAAGGAAATCGCTTATCATATTCGGGTAAACAGTATTTTTACAAAGTCCACCATTGAATTTTACCATAATATTGAAATATAAACGAAACTTAAAGACCGGTGTAAAACAAAGTTTGACCCCGTTATAATTTATCAATTTTCAATCGTTGAGCTGTAAGGGGAGCTGATGCGGTCCCTTTAACCCAATACACTATATGAAATACAAGCCTCTGACCGATAAAAGAAGTTAGAAAACGGACCCTAAACCCAAAAGAACGCCCCGTTCTACATCTTGGGTGTGGCAATTGATACAAACCAAGTTTATGACTCAGACCAAGGCTCTGAACGTTACTGATTCTTCAGTGTCTCTCTTCCGAAAGCAGACCATTTCCAATAGAAAACCTAGAAATTTACATACCCGTAAAATGACTGCATTATAATTATAATTCAACGACTCATCAGATTTGAACGAATTTTTTATCAAGATTTAAAGTTGCAACATTGGCAGAGTCACTTTTTATGTTGTAAAAAGACTTGGAAATTTTTCAACGGGGTCAAAATCTAATGTTAAACCGGTATCCGTACATAAATATTTTACCACATACTGCTGAATGTACTGTTTGCTATGAAGTTTAAAGAACTAGAGGGACGAATGTAAACACCGGTTAGAGTTAAACTTAATAATAGATATATTTGAGGTAAGGATATGTTGAAAATACTATATTTATTTAATGTCGTACCTGAACTTTATATCACCCAACTTCTAAATTAAACAAGCACTATCCTTAACGTCCATGTGTTGAATATAGCATTTTCATAAAACTACCGAATCTTAATCTAAGCAATCATTAATATGAAAATAGAATGGATTTAAAGTTATCATTTCATATTTTTTGTTTAACGCTCGTTGTTTATGTGTATGGGCAGGAAGGTACGGTATCTACAACGGCTGGTGAATTTATAGGGACAACCGAGGAAACGACATTCAGCGGGGTACAATATAAAATAAAACAATTCTTAGGAATTCCATATGCTAAACCACCAATTGGTGACTTACGATTCAGAAAGCCAGAACCTTTACCAAAGCTACAAACACCATTCCGTGCTACTAGATACGGATTTATCTGCCCGCAGATTATTCTCCCGAGTGAACCAGTAGTAGGGACACAAGATGAAGATTGTCTGCATCTTAATATCTTTGTTCCAACACAAGCGCCTGATGATACAAACGGACATGCTGTTATGGTATGGATTCATGGGGGAGGGTTCATTTTAGGTTCATCCGATGAGTATGACAGCAAAATATTGTCAGGTTTCGGAAATGTCCTTGTAGTGACAATTAACTACAGACTCGGTCCACTTGGATTCTTCAGTACAATGGATTCGAACTGTCCTGGTAACTTTGGGTTATGGGATCAGATGTTGGCTTTAAACTGGATACGAGATAATATTGACACCTTCGGTGGTGATGTTAACCGCATTACTATTTTTGGTGAATCCGCTGGGGCGATAAGTGGCGAAATGCAAGGTATGAAACGAGAAAATATTGGTGTGTTCCATAGAATAATTGCCTCAAGCGGATCACCCTCTGTAAGGTCTATGAATTGTTCTAGAAATACACTGACTGGCGCCAGAGTTATGGCGGGAAAAGTTGGATGTGATTTGAAAAGCACCGAAGAGATGATTGAATGTCTCCGTAACATCACCTGGCAAGATTACATGGGAGCAATAAATGCATTAAGCCAAGATTCAAATAGTATAGAATATTTGATATTTGACCCAGTCGTTGACGGAGATTTTATCAAAGATGAGCCTAGAGATTTGTATAAAAGAGCAAAAACACAGACCATTGAAGAGCTTGAAGTTTTTAAATCCTTTGATTTGTTATCAGGAATGAACGCCAACGAAGGTGGATATTACTTGATGTATTTTGTAGAAGACGTAGATAAGTTTATGCCAACAAGAGAAGAGATGAAAAATGTGTATATACCGGCAGCAATGAACTTGGTCTACAATAGAACATTCCCTGAAACTATAATGCAAGTTATTGAAAATGAATATACAAATTGGTCAAGTCCATATGACTATCATAATATCAGAAGACAATTTGCTAAAATATTTGGAGATACAGGATTTGCAGTAACTAGTATCGAATTCTCACGGCTTCATGTTACATCACCAACGACATCTAAAACATATGTTTACAAATTTATGCCTAAACCATCAAAGCGAAGCGGTGGTTCTCCTGAGTGGATGGATGAAGCGAACCACGGTGACGATATTCGTTTTGAATTTGGATTTATTGATCAACCAAATGCAGAAGATTGGGAGATTGAATTATCGAAACACGTGATGCAGTATTGGACTAATTTTGCTAAAACAGGGTACGTCAAAATTCATCTTTTTCATATGTTATCATTTTTTTTGTATATCTTTTTCATATTTTATTCATCGTGTAGTAGGAAATTGCATGTTAACGCTTACATTAGGTATTATTGTTTCGTGATGTTATTTAATATTAACTGAATCATTTCAGATTGGTTTGATTACATTTGTTTTTCAATTTTATACCCCGTCACTTACACATAAATGAAAATTGAAATATCAACTTTGAATATGACCACGTGGTTACTCTTCTTATCAGCAATATAATGATATATAATTAAGCGCGCTGTATTATTGTAATTTTTGACCAGTCCCAATGCTATGAGTATAAAACACAGATATGTGTTACAAAAAGCCATAATTGAACAAAAAATTAAACTACGACTAACTGTTTTATTCTCTTAAAGTATTATTATGTGAAAGCAGACAAAGTTATGAAAAGAATAACTCAAATAAGATATTATTTTACAGAGATCCAAATAGCCCAAATCATCCTGGACCTGTATGGCGCGAATACGACTTAATAAACCAGCATTACATGGAGCTAGATAGAGATTTGGGTGAAACTGGCGGGAAGCAGTTCGCATTCGCGAAAGAGCTCAACTTCTGGTTGGAAGTGTTCCCAGACCTTGTGCACGCCACGGATAATCAGGGCATGAAAACATGTGGAACAATGATCAGTCTTGGAAATATATTTTTCAGCAGCACAACACCATTTTTCATGTTGTTTTTAAAAGCTCTTTTTATTTAAATCTTTGGCAGTAATTCCATTCTTTTTTGTAAGAACGACTGATGCCTTAGTTTTTTCATTTTCTCAAGAATATAACTTTTAGTTAAATTTAATCATATCTTATTGCTAAGAAAAATATGTAAATATACACAAAAACAACAAGTTTTCGAAATAAAAGATATAAAAGTTGGACCCAAGTTCAAGCAGCCCTACCCCATACAGTAGTGAACAACTGATTTTATTCCTTATTTTTCCTAATGAAAAGAAAATGAATCCACCAACTTTGATCAAGCAACTCTTATAAGGGTGCAGTAAATTGCAGGTACGGGGGAACCAATTATGCTAGCATGCGTCGTTATCCAAATCTACATACACTAATTAACTATCTTTACTTATCATTCCTTATTTTTCATATCAAAATTAAAATATTTAAAAAAATGAATAATAAGTTCGGCCGTCTGTTCTCAAGTAATTTATCATTGCTTCATGGAACCTACATTTATTCAATATGTTTTCAAAAGTAAACAATCTTAAATTATATCAAATTCTATATCTTAAACTGAAGCTAGTGAACCATGCCTTATAACCACTGCACATAGGTTTCGACCTTTGCAAGTGTGTTCCAAATTTTGACCTTTATTTGTTTAAACTATTCGTACGTGTATTTCCCCTCGGTAGATTTAAGCGCGCTGCAGTGTACTTTTTCAAGTATACTTGTAAATAACAGCAATCTATTTGAAAAAGTAAAGAAATCCAAATGTTAACCTTGAAATAGCTCAAAAATTCTGTTTAAATTCTTGCATTCCGTTTTTTTTTGTTTCTTGTGTTTTGCAGTTGTTGATTTCTTTTTCGTTTTAAGCATAATTTAAGGAAACAAAATAAAATTAATAATCAACCAATGTGTTTCCCAAAAAGATTTGATGTTTAAGTGACTGTATTTCATCTATAGATAAACATAAAGAGGTATACATGTATGTTAATATAATATATTTAGATTAGCGTATAGCAGATAAGAAAAGAATCATTATTAATAAAACAGTCATACCAAACAGCAAGAGTAATAGTTATGTTTATTTGCATACATTTACATGTGTACACATTATTAAAACACACCATTTCGATGAGGTTAGCTATCCATACAAACAACGTTTCGATATAGTGAGCTATGAAAACACATACTGTAACAATGTAGTGAGTTATTAATACAAACACCGTTTCGAATAAAATGAGCTATCAATAAATACACTGTTTCGATGAAGTGAGCTATCAATAAAAACATCGTTTCAAATATTTTTTTTTTTAAAAAAAAAAAACCAAAAAAAGTTTCAGGGTTTTTAAAATTTTAAAAAAAATTTTTTTTAACCCCAAAAAATTTAAAAAAAAGGGGGGGAAAAAAAAAAAAAAAAATTTTAAAAGGTTTAAATTTTTTTTTTAAAAAAAAAAAATTTTTTTTAAAAACCCCGGGGGTTTTTTTTTTTTTTTTTTTTTTTTTTAAAAAAAATTTTTTTTTTTTCCCCAAACCTTTTTTTTTTAAAATTTTTTAAACCTTTTTAAAAATTTTTTTTTTAAAGGGTTTTTAAAAAAAAAAAAATTTTTAAAATTTGGAAAAAAATTTTTTTTAAAAAAAAAAAAAAAAAAAAAATTTTAAAAGGGGGGGAAAATTTTTTTAAAAAAAAAAAATTGGGGAAAAATTTTTTTTTTCTCCCCTTAAAAAAAATTTTTTGGGTTTTTTTTTTAAAAAAAATTTTTTTTTTTTTTTTTAATTTTGGGGGTTTTTTTTTTTTAAAAAAAAAAAAAACTTTAAAAAAGGAAAAAAAAAAATTAAAAAAAGGGAAAGGGAAAAAAAAAAAAATTAAAAAATTTTTTTTAAAAAAAAAAAAATTTTTAAAAAAAAAAAATTTAAAAGTTCCCCCTTTTTCAAAGGAAAATTTAATTTAAACCCCCCAAAAAACCCGGGGCAAAAAATTTTTTTAAAAAAATTTTTTTTTGAAATTTTTTGGGGTTTTTTTTTTTAAATTTTTTTTTAAAAAAAAATTTTTTTGGGGGGTTTTTTTTGGAGTCAGCCAGAGGTCAAAATACCAGACAACCTCAAATTTATAAAAAAAAAAGCGCATGTAGTAAAAAGGCTTCACAAAAAACCTTTCATCGCTCCCAAATTTAATAGTTTGATTGTAACTGTTTTCAATATATCTGACACTGATTAATTTTCTGAATTTCCTTATTTTTGAACGATTCGTATTTTTTTTTTTTTAAAAATGAAAAATAGTGAAATTTTTCGATTATTTGATTCTTTTTCGTTTTCTTAAATTAGTGTTTCGGTAAAAGGACTATTTGGTTTTCTCTTTCCGAAATTCTTGTAAGGGGGGGGTATAAAAGACAAAAAAGACTTTTGAAAACCCTGGCAAAAATGCTTTGCATGAAGAAAAAAAAAGAAAAAAAGAAAGAATAAAAATAACCGCTTCCTTTTGGAATTCATAAGGTAAAAGCAAGGAACATTTAATACGAAAGACCTTTTTCACGAATTCCAAAATTTGAAGTTTTTTTTTTGAAGTTAAAAACCCCTGTGTGAATTGTAATTTTTAAATGTGAATTATAAGGTGATCGTAAATTTCATGAAGTTTTTGAAAGGGCTAAAAATGTGAATGCACGAAGTTGTTTAATTTTTGGTTAAACAAATTCTGAAGCTTAATCGGGAATTTACGAATTTAAAAATTTTGTGAATTCACGAAGAGCAATCGGAAATGAGAAGTTGAAATGTCCCAACTGGTTTGTCATTAACTGCTACTGATCAAAAAACTCTCTTGAGAGCCCTGAAGTAAACGAAAATAAGAATGCATTAAAAAAATAAGATTTTATCAGTTTGCGGTTATTTGAGTCATCACATTTACTTTAATACAAATAAAAAAATTTAAAACGCAATGTTTTAAAATTCTTCATACTACATGACACATGATGCTAAGACAATTTATCGGGAAAAAACCCCAACTTTACATTACATAATGATTTTTTCAAATTTGTGATTCATAAAAACATTCAAAAATCATTCAAAAATGACCCGGGTTTTTTCATTACAAAGTAAAAAATAAATATTAAGCAACAAAAACATTTTTATTATAGGAATGGATAAAATGCGAAAATAATAAAAATATAATAATAATAATAATAGTAAGAATAAAAAATAATAATAAAAAAACAACCCCACCAAAAACACACGCACCCCCCTTTCACCCCCAACACAACAAAAAAAAAAAAAAAAATTTTAAAAACACATTGTTTTTTTGTAAACCACTTTATAATCAAAAAATAACCAAAGGGAGTAAAAAAATGAAACAGTTTTGGCATAATAAATGAGAAAACAGTTTTTAAACATGATTGGAAATTTATATTATGGGACTTACCCGCTCGAATGACATACAATAAAACACCCCAAAAAAAAAAAAATTAAGTACCCCAAATTTTGGGAGACACTTTTTTCAATGTTCAAAATTTTAAAACCCAATTCATTCGAAAATAACAGTTGTTTAATGATTGTTTTAAATTACCATAAAAATATTTATACAGGGTTATTTTTCTAATTTTTTTGGAAGGGTCTAATTACTCACGTAGAAGTAAAGTTCATTTAAAATATAAAATATCTCTTTTTAACATTTATTTCTTTTTAAACTTTAAAACTCTGAATACGAATATTTTCCGTTGAAAATATCAAAGTCTTTTTTTTTTTCTATTATCATTTTTTTTAGCTCACCTGACCGCAAATTGCTCAGGGCTGAGCTTTGTTGATGTTTCATCATTTATGCGTTGTTATCTACAATTTTATTTAACATTTCTTCCTGACAAGATATAATTGTTAAACCAAATCATTATCGTGTAGCACTTGCAGATTGATGTAAACTTATGTCCACCTTGAAAACTGATTACAAGTTTGTAGAAGAAAACATATGATCCCACTTTTGTTAACTACGAGCTTAGAACTAAAGCTATTTGGCTAATACTAGTTATAGCATTGGACTAATATGGACCTCTACCAAAAATTGTGAAAAATCATGTCCCTTAATTCACTCAAATCTGGCTCAATCCATGGCTACTGTTGTTATAAATTTTTAAACAAACAAAATTTACTAAAATGTGTAAGCGGAGATGATCGAAGTCACGGTTACGATTTTGTTCCGCAATTACATTATAGAACGTGATTTACACGTGCGTATAGTTTTTGAGTGTCACGTGACTTTTCATTTCCAATAAGTCATATCTTTTAAATTTCAAAATATTCAAAGTTTGGAAATTAAAACAATATGCAGAAGACACCTATTCTTGGCCAGTGCTTCTTGTGATGGGATGTTGTTGGTCGCGCACACATAAATATGACGCAACTTCCTGTTATTACGTTCTCCTAGCATTATGTTGCACAGCATAACATTAGATATACATAAGGTTGAATGACGCTGGTTTAGAATAATCCCTGAAATAGGACCACCTCGCTCTTAAGACCATTTTTTAAAAGATTATGATTTTTCTTTTTTCTTATGATTGGAATATTGTATAAAAAAAGGTGAGGAAAAAACCAGAGTGGTTTAATGTTGCTTTCTTCACATTTATTTTGCGAGGAATTAAATTCTTATTTAATAGTGAATTATGTATATATTTTAATATATTGGAATCAAAACTTTGAGAATATAATTTTTGATATAAAATTTTCATAAATTTATATAAATATTGTTTATAAATATCAATGACTCGGTAGCCATTTTTGTCAAGTTTGAACCCATTTTACTCGCAAACCATTTAAAGTCATGTCCCTTGTTTTTTTGTTTTTTGGGTTTTTAAAACGTAAATGCTCTAAAGGTTTTTGAACACGATTTTGCCAAAACTAAGCCTTTTTTAATTTAAACATTGCATTACTAAAGATTTATTGGTTGAACAATAAGATTAATTTTGGATCTTTTTTTGGAAACCTAAGATCAAGGTAAATATGAACCCCAATATTTTTGTGAAAAAATACAATGTCCCTTTTAAATCTTTCATTTAAAATAGATCAGCTTTTTTACATTCTTGCATATCAGACCGGTTTTTTCCGCTAGTTTTCCCATGCCGGTAAAATTTTAATAGAGGGAATTAAGATTTTATACATTTTCCTTTCAGGCATACAGCTCATCTAGAAAATCCTTTTATTCCCAAAAGGGTGTTTTTTCT